AACAATTTTCATAGATCTGTCGAAAACCCAACCTTCCATCACCTCAAACTTACGGAAAAGAAAGAAGGACATAAAAGGTAATATAAATCTATGATAATAACATTTCAAAGGTTTATAAAGCTCTAACCCTTTGATAATTTCCAAATATTGCTTTCATTGAATTGCTCAATATCTTAAAAACTATGTGCTACATCAATTTAGGTAATAAGTTTTAATAATAATAACAACAGCTATTGAATGCTGTTTTAAACAGGACATTAATGTGTTGTAATATTTAAAAATGTAAAGATTTTTCATCAAATTTTGTTGAACAAAGAAGGAAAATACTTTTGTAATACACTCTTAACATGCACTTGTAAATCTGGTGATTCGGACAGTATTTATAATTATCTCAATTAAGCGGAGAGGTGAAGTGAGCTTTTCCGATCACATTTTGTTTGGTTCATTGATCATTTCACAATACAATATGAAAGTAGTATACAGGATTATGCAGAATAAAAATCTTTAAAACAAAAATTCCTAAGAGCAGCAAAACAATGATCAGTCAAATTATGAACCCTCCTTCAAAGAAGGGTCTTGTCATAAGGAATGCACATGTGAAATATGAAAACCCTAGCACCAACCTTTCGAAAGATATGGCCAAGGTTAAAGTTTTTCAAAATTGGGTCAAAAGGCCAAGGTCAAGATCAAAGGGTCAAAATTACTCGTGTCCAAAGAAAGGCTTAGAACGAGGGAATACATGTGTGAAATATGAAAGCCCTGGCTCCAACTATTCCAAACTTATGGCCAAGGTTTACGTTTTTTAAACAATGGGTTAAATTCCAAGGTCAAGGTCAAAAATATTTGTACACAAGGAAGGTCTTATCACAAGAAATACACAAGTCATGTGAAGTATGATAGCCCTAGCATCAACAGTTCAAAAGTTATGGCCGAGGTTAAAGTGCGTAAAATTTTGCAAAAGTGGGTCAAATTCCAAGGTCAAGAGGTCAAATATGTACCCAAAGTAAGGTCTTGTCACAAAGAATACTCATGTGAAATACGAAAGCCATAACTCCAACTAATCAAAAGTTATGGGAAAGGTTAAAGCTTTGCGGACAAACAGACAGGCAGACAGACAGACGAACGGACAGGGCAAAAACTATATGCCCCGAATCTTCGATTACGGAGGCATAAAAATATTACAAGTTTTCTTCTTTTCGTAGATTTTGGTACATCAAAGAGGAGAATAAGATTTGGACATTTAAAAGAAAAGATTCTCTCTCTAAAAAATGAGAAATTACAAGAAGAACTCAAGAAGATTAGAGAGGAAAGAGAACTTATACGAGCACAGAAATCTTATTATGAGTTAAAATTTGAAATATTGGCGAATTCAAATCCAGAGGTTGCGGTTCAAATGTTAAAAAATAATGAGATTTAAGAGTTTAAGGAAAATCAGGAAGTGCACATCAAAATCATAATTCTGGTGCTATATGATGGTATATATATGGAGTAAATATCAACAGATTTTCAAATCACTCCAATTTTTTGTTTAGAATAATTAATATAACTGTATATGTAATTTTTTTAAAGAATATCTTTAAATACAGGCACTTTATTTAATCTGAATTTGGTTCAATGTAAATTTCGGAGCAAATTGAAATTAACTTACAAATACAAGTTATTCTGCCTGGTACTACTCTAAACTAGAATTATAATGTCCGTCGTTATTATAGCCTCTCTTTGGTCTCGCTATTATTTAGGCTCGGAAAATGTCTGATGCTCATCTTTTTTTTAATTTTCATTGTGCTGTCTTAGTTATTTTGTAAATACAAATCAATCTGTAACACCACGGAACCCGTTGCATTATCTGTGATAAGACCTGTTATCTGTGATAATGAGATTGATAATAACATACATTTGTAGACGTTGACAGTATTTGATGTGCTATTGTGAAACTGTGGTATCTATGTACCAAAAATATATGTGTGATCCTATTATTGTTAATATACATAGTTATTTATTTTTTGACATTGAATTTATGCTTTGTAACTTAGTTGATGCTTTTCCTGAATAATCATAAGAATAATATACCCCATTACCAAAGTAATGGTTGGCCATTTTCCTCACAGACTTTCATGGTTGTACAAAATGTTTATCTCATGGTTTTTTTTTAAAAATAAAAAAACCCGAGACATTTCTCAGTATTTTCATGCACCTGTGCCAGTTAGATCTACGTGTACATGTATCATGCTGTATCTGTTTAAGATTGTTATAGTTTGCATGTATAGCTTTCAAACCATTAATTCGATTAAATGTTCTATTGAAAGTAAGAGTCCAGCTGTAATTGTTGTATTCAAACTGTTGTCTATATCTGCCTATCCTTTTTATTGCAGAGGTGTAAAACAAGACCTCATTTTGGTGGAATTTCAGAGGCAAAGGTTAATATTTTCTTACACATGTATTAATGTCGCACTGTGAAACTACATTATTTAAATTTATTTGTATTTTGTATATCTGTATATAGGGTTTAAAAACTATTTTCAGTTCATATATTGACATAAATTCTACTCAATAAACTTGCTTTACCTGCATTCCACCCGTGTATATAGAAATTCTGGACATCACTTCGACGCAGCGCTCTTTCTATCGTACTCTTGATTACTAACAGCGTGTCTTGTTTGATAAAGTAATTGATTTTAAACTAGACCCACAATAAATATACTGCAAGTGCACATCAATTAACGCGCTCAAAATTTAACGCAATCTTCCTTAAAAATAAGCAAAAGCATCTACTGTCGTATATGTATTTGTTTTTATCATATGCTAGCGTGTACTAATATAAAGGAGCGGAAGAAGACATGTGATAACCGCTAAATTAAATTCCATTTACAGTAATTGCCTCAGTGAAAAACCAATACCATGATCAAAGACCTCACCTTCGTTTAGTGATTCAAGTAGTAAATCGTTTAGAAATGCATTTTGACGGCGACGTTAACATTGCAGAAGTAGTCCGACTGCCATTTTTGTGTCACCTGCAGAGCAGAGCGACACGTAGGGATCACTTTGCCCAGCGTCTGTCTGTCTGTCCGTCTGTCACCCTTATATCCTGAGAACTGTTGGTAGGGATTTAATATTTGGCTCATGCATTGCTTGGAAGAACGGCTTTTGTAAAATACCAGGGTTACCGACCTCGTGACCTTTAAACTTTAATCTACTTTTCAAAATACACCATAGTGCCGATATTTACATATTCTTTGAGTTTTTAAGAGGTAGGTTTGTGCTATTTGGCAAGTGTGCACTACTTGTCATAAGACATACTGAACAAGATGTGTTTGTGAAACACTATGCCCCCGATGGTAACACAATTCTGGAGTGGGACGTAGACTACAGTGCAATAGTAATAGCCAATGTTAAAGTTTTTCAAATGTAGGTCAAAGGTCACAGTTGAGGTCACATGATAAATAATTTCTGTACCAATGGAAAGGTCTTGTCATAATGAATACTCATGTCAAATATTAAAGCCTTACCCTTGACAGCGCAATTGTAACGGGCTAGGTTAAAATTGACAACAGACAGACAGACAAACAAACAGACAGACAGACAGGACAAAAACAATTTACCCCCGGGATCTTTCGATCCCGGGGTATAAAAATATCAGCGTTACAGTCCACCTGCCCTTGACCTTTGGCCAATCTAAACCATTGTTATGTCTCATGAATTTTAAGAAGTATGGCTTTGCTCACTAGCATTTATAAACATATTTATAACCTACTGACATTTTGTTTTAATGTATTAGTGATATTAATCACACAAACTGAAATTTGAATGCATTCTATTAGCAATCGGAAATCACTCGGAAATCTCGACTGGACGGAAAAGGACGTGATTTTCCGACAGTTACGTTAGCTGTCTTCAAAAAATAAAACGGGATCGGTATACCGACTTTTGATCGTGATATTCGGTAATTGTTGAATTAAATCTGAATTATTAAAAAATTCTTATAAATTTTTTTTCGACTTGACAGACAAGGCCGATGTTGTTCTCGACTTGACAGAAAAGTCTATGTGATGTCCCGAGTTCAGGATCGGTATATGACGTGGGTTTTGTGAAACTTGGGGATTGTTGAAATAAACACATACGAATGTACGATTGTTTTTAATAAATTCATCATTCATTTTAACTTGAATTTATATCGATTGTAACTTCTTTGCTTCAGCTATAATGCTAGTATAATATTTAAAAAATGATGACCACCCTTTACTTTTATAGATATATCTTTAATGATGTTATAGCAAGTGACACATGCATTCCTTGGAACACTCTAGTTGGTGAACGTACATGTATTTGCGCGAGTTTTAATTTGAGGTAACTGTTCACCAATATCAAGATTTTATGAGAAATCTCAGAATTTTTTTTCCGAAGCAGTGTTGGCTGCAATTGTTTTGGCATGGCTTGCACGATTGAGAAAAATCTCAGATTTGAGAGGGAAAAAATAAAAAAAAGTCCAAGTTTGAGAAAAAAAATCATCATGGCATTTGAATGTCTTACAAATTGCAAGGTCGGTCAATGCAAATTACGTCTAGTCGTTTAAACAACTATTTGACAGAAAATATGTCATGGATGGGGAATTCTGTTAAGGTTGTATTGCTGAGGCTTTGTATATAATCCTCTTTTCAATATCATAAGTATTCATATTGTAAAGTCTTTACAAGTTTGACTCTGTCATAAATTCAAATTAATATGGACTCACATTTAAGTATTTTTTAATTGTTATCATCTATTCCTGTGTACAGCGTATACATTTATATTTTCCAGCTTCATACGTACAGCAGAATCGTAATCCTAGAAACATACAAGTGCTATATGCTGAAATTTATCCTTTTGTTCTGAGGGGAGGGAGGGGGTTAGAGACTTAAATATTATGCGCCCTTCATTTGGAACCATCTGCAATCATTAACGATATTGTAAAATAAGATAATTTGTCTTAATGCTAACCTGCACTCATTTTTCACTATCTTACATTCATATCCGCTGAGAATTTATTCAAACACAAGTAATAACTTTTGTTTCAGCATTAAACATTTTTACAAACAAGAGGTCCATGGGCCACATCGCTCACCTGAGTAACTTTGGCCATGATGTTCTTTACCAGATTTCCGCCCTTGTAATACCTGTTGTGGCCACGCCCTATCCTCGGGGGTCATGATTTGAACAATTTAGAATCTATACTACTTGAGGATGCTTCTACACAAGTTTCAGTTTTTCTGGCCCAGTTGTTCTTGAGAAGATTTCTAAAGATTTTCCTTATATAGTTCAATGTAAAAATTGGACTCCCTATTGTGGCTCCGCCCTACCCCCGGGGGTCATGATTTGAACAATTTAGAATCTATACTACAAGAGGATGCTTCCACATAAGTTTCAGCTTTTCTGGCCCAGTGGTTCTTGAGAAGATTTTAAAAGATTTTTCCTATATATTTCAATGTAAAACTTGGATTCCCTATTGTGGCCCCGCCCTACCCCCTGGGGTCATGATTTAAACAATTTAGAATCTTTACTACCCAAGAATGCTTCCACATAAGTGTCAGCTTTTCTGGCCCAGTGGTTCTTAAGAAGAAGATTTTTAAAGATTTTTCCTATATATTTCAATGTGAAATTTGGATTCCCTTTTGTGGCCCCGTCCTACCCTCGGGGGTTATGATTTTAACAATTTAGAATCTACACTATCCCAGGATGCTTTCACATAAGTTTCAGCTTTTTTGGCCCAGTGGTTTTTGAGAAGAAGATTTTTTAATGACCCCACCCTATTTTTGTCTTTTCTTGATTACCTCCCCTTGTAAGGAGACTTGACCCTTTATTTTAACAATTTAAACTCCCCTTCACCCATGGATACTTTGTGCCAAGTTTGGTTAAAATTGGCCCAGTGGTTCTTGAGAAGAAGTTGAAAATGTGAAAAGTTTACAGACAGACGGACGGACAACGGGTGATCAGAAAAGCTCACTTGAGCTTTCAGCTCAGGTGAACTAAGTATAAAATCAGCAGTAACCAATGGCGGCTCCAGCATTTCGTATGATTTTCAATAAAAAAATTTATATACATGTAAATACCGGTATAAATTAGCCGTGCTCCTTAACATCAATTTCAAAATGTCACTTGTTTAATTTTCTTCTTACAAAGTAAAAAGCATTTTTGCGATAGCATATATGTCTTTTTCATTCTCTATCCAGAGTTGTCGTTCCCGCTACACTCCCACATACACCTCTGTCAACGCTTCTTGGAAAAATTGTAAATGATGAAAAATTGTGTTTATAATCGATTTTAGTTATAATTCTCAACTGAAAACAGGATTTATTTAATCCTTTACCCTTTGAAAGGATTTTTTAATTAAGTTTTTAATTTTTAGTCCGCAAAATAGTTCCCTTAAAACTTTAGAAATAAATTGTTTTGAGGGATGATAGATTTAAAATAAATGATTAATTATTATCTTTATCGATAATTACAATAATTAATTACTATTTTAATTTCAAATTTTCACCGTTTAAAACTTGTACAAGAATCTTGTACAACGAGCGTTGACAGAGGTGTATGGAGCGTAGCGGAAGACAACTCTGGATAGAGAATGATGTCTTTTTTTTCTATTCTCATCAGAAAACTTGTGGCTACTGAGGGATTTTATCCCGTAATTTTCGAACAATATCCATTGAAATGAATGAAGGTATGTTGTCCGTTAAGTCTGGTTATATCCAGATATGTTATCCTTTAAGTCTGCTTATATCCAGATATGTTGTTCGTTAAATCTGGTTATATTTAGATATGTTGTCGTTAAATCTGGTTAAATCCAGATACATGTAATACATTTTGTCCGTTAAATCTGGTTAAATCCAGATATGTTGTCGGTTAAGTCTGGTTAAATCCATACTCTACAAAGGCTTCAAGAAAATCCGGCAGAAACTGAAACCCATTCTTTTTATGGAAGGCAACTGAAAGGCTATTCTCAACATTTACGGCGGAATATATATACAATCCTTCTTCCCGCAACTTTTGTGCAAGTAGCATTGTAACGGCACTTCCAAGTTTTGCTCTTTTATATTCAGCTATTACTTGCAGCATTCCAATACAGCCATAGTCTTGTTGTAACACCCAAGCTATGGGTTGTCCCTCTTTATTCTCTACACAGACGCTAGGTGATACCCCTATCATCTCTCTGATCCACTCCTTAGCATCACTAAACACTCCAGAATATGGCCATTCTTTGACTACTGTATCCAAATGATGCTCACTCAAACAAGTTACTTTGAAATCATCTGGAATTGGTCTGAAACAAAATAAAGTCAAATATTAAATGTAGAATCACCGAGGGAATAAAAGATGGTAAAGGAATTTAACATATCCATATCACTTGATTAGCTGAACATTTTGACCTCTAACTACAAATATACATGTATATAGATGAAGACAAATGATAGGGATTGAATTTCAATCCAAACTTTTCGTACTCAAATTTCTAAAAATGCTTTCCTTCCTCATATAGCACTTATATAGTTGTAAATTTTAAATTTTCTGCGCAGAGGTAATTAATGCCATTTACATAACCTTTATCACGTTGCAAATTTTATATTTACATCCAAACAGAAATTCAAAATTGACAACATGATAATTTTCTGCTTATTTTGTTTAAAATTACAATTACATCCGTTATTTTTGTGGCCTATCACAGATGATTTCATCAGAAGCATCTGTCATGCTCTAAATTTTGAATGAACTGGATTGGAGTAAATACTAGTTATCATGTTCTAAATTTATATTTACTGCCACCCAGTAAATTTAAAACAGAGATTTAAGGCTTTGAGAAGACGCTAGTTCTCTTTGACCGAACCTGTTTGTCAGGGAACCAGAATATTCCTAGCCTTACATATATGCTTACAGAGAAATGATATTTTCCTTGGGAAGAGTTAGCATGTAGGCATCAGAACTCAAACGCCGAACGGAAGAACCACGACATTTTATTAAATCATCCGCCACTCTCGGACGGCAACCTGTAGATATAATTATGATATGGTGGTTATTTTTAAAATATATTAATTTGACAAAACTGACATTACTCCGAAGGAATTAAATAGTCATTAAATCAAACGTTGAAAATTTGCCCTACTTTGCTCTAAGTCGGTTGGTATTTATTTCCATGGAAATCAACAAAAATTTTTAAAAAGGAAAAAAAATGCTAAAAAATAAATGAAGTATTAAAACATTATATAGTAAATATTGTATGTGTAGTAAGATAAAATCATTCCAAGGCATCTCACCAAACATGAGGAGAGAATTTGATAGATATTCCGATACAAGACTTAGTACTGAATCCAGAGAGGATGAGCCATGCTGGTCTCTGCAGAAACAATAAACTCGCTGTGGTGAAGCATCCTTGTGCTACAAGTAAACCGGAAGATAAAAATACATGTATGAATATACATCCATCAAATATATATATATATATATATATATATATATATATATATATATATATATATATATATATATATATATATATATATACATATATATATATATATATATATATATATATATATATATATATATATATATATATATATATATATATATATATAATGGAAGAGCAGAGATTATTTCGATTGAGGAGAACAGGAAATGTCATAAATTTTGGCAGTAAATGTACACAATGCAGAATCAGTAGTTGTCATCAAATTTCAGAATTTATGACATATTTGAATGTACATAACATTTTTGTAACAAAACATCTTTCTGAATATTACACATTACATTGCACATAGCACCCTAGTGTAGTTGTGCAATTTATCTCCAATTTGATTAGCATCGCACAGATAACACTCCTTCTTTTTTTTTAATATTATTCCATCTACCCATTTTTACTGGAAGACGGTGGGTACTTGTTCTATCTTGCATAAACATTTCTGAATTTTTTTGGTAAAACATTTAATATTCTTCACATTCAAACGTTTTTTTTTAATCTGTATGTTATACCCTTTCTTAAAAAGACGTTAATGGAAATCTAACAACCAAGCTTTATGATAAACGTGATGACTTTAACTTTTCAATCATCAACTTCCCTTATACTTAAGCAGCAATATACCTCATCACCTGCATATGGGGTTTATATCTCTCAGTTGATTCGATATGTAAGAGCATGCTCTACGTATTTACAATATCTAAAAAGAGGTAAATTATTGACATACAAGTTGATGAAACAAGAATATCAGCAGTCTCCTTTAAAGTCATCATTTCGTAAGTTCTATGGTCGATACAATGACTTTGTCAGCAAATACAATTTATCATTGAGTCAAATGCTGACGTTTTTCATACTAATTGTTAGGCCATTATTTACACACTGAATTGTCGACGGTTTTTTCCGTTATTTCCCGATCATGACAAGGAGCACACGGCGGGTGTGACCGGTCGGCAGGGGATGCTCACTCCTCCATGGCACCTGATCCCACCTCTGATGTTTTGGAGGTCCGTGTTTGCTCTGCCCTATTTTGTATTGTTTAATGGACTTTTGAGCTTGAATACTGTTCGTTATCTCCATATATTTCATTGAATTATTTATATCACTATACATTTTTTGTATAAACTGATCTTTGATTTATATGTCGATTGAGCTTTTGGTTCAGTGAAGTAGCAATTAACTTAACACTGAAAACTTTAAAGATTCGAAACATAACACAGTCCTGTTGTGTTGATATCCATGGATTGCTTAAAGCTGTACGGTCCGCAAGTGTAATGTATTATTTTACTCATGGAAATTATCGGCTAGGGCTGTTTATCATATGTTCAAATGACAAAAATATACTTTCAACCTATATTTTGTGCCTAAGTGTAATTAAAAAAATAATTCTTTGATTACAAACAAAAACTCATGAATATTCAGCGTAAAGATCTATCGAGAACGATCATGTGACCTTTCGAAAGAGCTTAATTCTGTATCTCTTTATAGAGAAAATAAAAGATGAATAGTTAAACCGCCTATTTACCTCACACCTTGTTCAAAAAATTGCTCATTCAATAAAGTAGACTTCTCTTGTGTCCCGATTCCGTCAAAATAACCAGCATTCCACAACTCCTAATATGCACTCAAGAAATCTCATGTTTACGACTGATGCGAAGCTACATGTAGCTAGTGCGCATGTGCTTTATCAGCAGTCGTTGAATTCATTATCGTACAACAATAATTTTTTTTTTTACCTTCCAATTTCTTTTTCTCTAGAAAAGATGCAAACTAGAGTGTGTAATTTTTTGAAAGTGAGAAACTTATGCACTGTAAATGAATGATGATAGTAAATCTTAATTTTCTGAGATTAAAGAGATCGGATCATACAGATTTAACATTTTTTGGTAAATCTATTATAAAAATGTAAATAAATGATTCTATATATCTTATTCTCATTTCAATATAGCAATTTTCCCAAGAAAGATATCATTTTTGTATAAACATACATTGCGAAAGGTCCAGTTTCCTATAGCATAAGATTCGGTACTAGATTTTAGATTTAAAATATATATCAAAAAATATAAAATGCTGACCCTCGTTAATGTCAAATCCAAATATTTCGCAGACATATAACTTTACAAAACAGATCTAACTGACAATCAGACGGTAAATTATATGTATATAAACGAATTTTTTAATAATGCCGTGCATTAATTGCATTTTGTGCTTAAAAACTTAATGAAAAAGGATTAATTGTTACTTTGAGTTTTCTACTGGTGTTTTCAGTGATATATTTCAAATCCAGCATAAAATAGAAATAATACAAAAATAATGTGACTGACCCGGTCGTCTGAAACTACCACAACTCTGAAATCAGGCCATTTGTCCACCCAAACAATTCTGTTCTTTAATAACCTCTTCCGTAAAAGTTTCAAGGGATAGTAAGCCTAAAAATGGAAGATAAACATTGTAAAGGTTACTCATATTCTGAATCCATTGTCCACAGAATTGGCAAGGAAATACCAGTGGTGGGAATCAATATTACCAGTGATAAATTTCGGTGTTGTTGAGTAGAGTTTCACCCATAGCCAACTCCCCCTCCCTCCCCCCTTGGAATCTGTTCTCTACAGTAGGAACCCCCCGGGAAATCTGACAATAGAGTCAAATTTCCCCCTCTTTTTTTCTCAGAGTAGGATTTAATTGCCCTCTTTTATCAATGCTCAAATCATATCGAAAATATTTTGGCTAAAATTTCATACTGATTTTTTTTAATGGAAATATGAGTGTTTTCTTCTCAAGAATTGTCAAATTTAGTATGAAATTTTAAATCACTGAGTCTCAACCAAGAATTTTAACTTATAGGAAATTGTAAAATAAGTCACTCAAAATTCGTAATACTAGATGTTTCAACACCCTCTCTGTACTGTTTGTTCACGAATTTTAAAATGTATATCAGTCCACATTTAGTGATTTGAAAATTTGTTTGTCCTCTACGAGGCTCAATATTTTATCTATGGTTCGATCCTTCTTACAAAGAGTGTGTGAGAAAAATCTAAAATTTGTTATTAAAGATTCCACATACTATCGTCTTTCACTAATTAACAATTTTCAGTTGCCAATGAGTACATGACTATCTCCCTGTTTTTCTTTTTAGCCTAAGGCGCTTCTTATCCTACTGGCTAGCAGTTGATAAGGGGAAATAACCTGAATTTGAAGAAAACAAAGATTAATGAAGGTATACGACATCCGTGAAAAGTGACCGACACATGCAGGGACGCGTACCCTTAATCGCAAAAGTTCTGATTTATTAAATTCACCAATCAAATTGCATCTTACTAATTGATCTATTATCTAAAAGTGTTAAAATGTACAGATGTGGTCATGCCATTTACCTTTGATGATAGATAATTGCTGACATAATAATTGAGTAAAAGATTAACATTATAGAAAGTATTTTGCGAGACTTAATCCCTTAACATATATATAAATTTATTCAGGATATAACTTTGGGCAATATAGCCCATCAGTTTACAAAAATAACATATAATAACATATATTACAAAATTTAAGACTCTCAGTGAGTCTAAATTGGGGGGGGGGGGTGAAACCAACAAAGGACTATTGGTTTTGAGCTATAAAATATAAACATGGACACTTACTTTTTAAAATGAGTAATTAACCTTAAGATTTAATGTAAATACAATTACTTACAATGAACAATAGGTGACACGAACATAAAAGAAAACCAATTTCAGAAGATGGAAAAGTACTAAATATTTTGTCCCAAATGTCAATTGTGAAATTCCAAAAATACAATAACAAGAAAGTTTAGTTATGTACATTTTCTAAAAAACAGATATTTAATTTAGTAAAATTTGACTTTTACATATAATTTATAAATATTAAAAATGTTAAATTACTATTTTTTTCTTCTTTAATTTCATTAAAGTAATAGAACACTGTAATTATTAATTCTAAATATAACTTGAATAAAAAGTTTTCCTCATGACACTATTTTGATAGTATTTGAATCGAGTTCTTCATAGGGAAAAAAGAACAAAACTAAAAACTAACAATACTAGCATAAGTATGTCTCCTCTACGCAAGCATGGATTTGGAAGCAGATAGCAAACACTCTCTCAAAACCCATTTAAAGTAAAATTCCTTTTTTGTTTCCATGGACACAGTTAAAAATTTGTTCAGTTGCAACAGATTACATTGTACCAATTATTTACAGAAACCAGTTTGACCTAGATGAAAAGAATAAAATGTTTCAGAGAATTTGTTGGAGAAAAATGAGATTTATAATTTCAATTTTTCATGCTTCGTATGTTTCAATATAGAACTGGATGCCATTTAAAGAAGGGGCACTTGTAACAATGTGTTGTCGCCCCCTCCTCCCTCATACATAAGTACAGCCAGGATTTTTTTTGGGGGGGGGGAAATTAGCTCTGGGGGAAATTGTACTCTAGAACTATAACGCAGAGTAGGATTGAATCTGATGTGGGATTCCCGTGGGGGAAATCTCAATCTACAGTAATTTTCCTTGGGGGGAATCCTACTCTAGAGCCTATTTTCTGGGGGGGGGGGTCCTACTCTAGAGCCAGTTTTCCGGGGGGGGGGAGATTTTATAGGGGCATACTCTACAAGACTGGTATTTCCCGTCCCGGTAAATACTACAGATTTTCTCTAAACTGGGAAATATTGGGAAATACATAGTTAAAGTTTTTTTTTATTCTTTAATTCATTCAATCTTATGCAAAATTTAAAAATAAAATAAACATAAAAACAGAAGATAAATACATGTAATATTGAATATGTCTCAAACTGCATCTTAAAGGTCATAGGAGACAATTACCTGAACATACTGAGTTACATATGGGAATAAGTTCACCTGAGCTGGTAAAATAAGACTGAAAATGTTTTCTGGATTTTTTACGCAAGATAGCTACAGCACAGTCGATCAAAATTACTCAATCGCGAAAATTCACTTTGACTAACGTTGCTTATCTCCCTTAGCATATGACGTCAGTAAGGCCCAGTCGCTGTTCAAAGCTATGCAATGTTTACAAACTATCATGTCATTTAGCAGCTTAATTTTAAAGAATATCATAATTATGGCTAAAACCTTGTATAAATATACGATCTTCAAACAGGCTAGTATTTCTTTAAAAAAATTCCATTGCATATTTGCAAGATGTTTGCATGTTTTATTAGTCAAAATGTGATCATTTTCATCGTTTGACACTTCGATCTATTGAGAGAAAAATAAAGCGATCGGAAGACAGAAAGAAGGGAGAAGGAGAGTGAGAATGAATTCATTTTTCATAACCAGGACAGTAACTGTTGTTTTAATGAAATCATTTATGTACAACCTAGTTTTACTTTCACACAGAGTCCAACACTGTCAGTATGGCACTTTTCTTGACAAATGATACGTACCTGCTGTGTAGTATCACATGGCTTTAAAAAAACAAGAAAAAAAATTCTTTCTCGTGTTACTGTTTTATACAATTTAATCAATTTTTATCATTTGACACTGTCTTTATATTCACTTACTCATGTACAACATCACCACCAATACCCGATCTCTGCCCCCCCCCCCCCCCGTTATTTCTTTCTTTTTGTAATTTAAAGTTCTTGAAATAATCGTGTCATTTTGAAACACACTGTTGATGGGTTAAAAACAACTCTGGCAAGAACTATACGTAAACTTGTAAATATGCGAGTTAGTACAAGCGACGTTTAAACATGTAGACCCAAGTACTAAAAAAAAAGGCAGCTCTTACATGACATGTGGAAATATTTCTATGAAGAATAAGGATTATACCAAATGTAGATATATTTAATGAATTAGAAATCAACGTTATTTTTTAATTTTGTAAAATTTAATACTTAAAATACAAAAAAGGGAGGTACCTTTCCCGTCAATTTGTTAAAATTTTATGAAAGATTAGTACTTATTTTTCCACTGTGTATTATATTTACGGGTTTTTTTTTCTGTAGAGGATATAATTTCAAAAGTTTTAATACCTGTTAAAAAGAACATTAATATTAAAATAATAGTCTCGCAAATGATGGATGGATTTGCAAACTGATCACAGACTGTACTGTTTACTACTACATACCGAGTACTAGTATTTCAAAAATCGATGTTGTCGAGTCAAACCGTGACTGCACAAAGTATTCTCATTTGCTCTGGGCTGAACATTTCTTCTATATATATATATTCCATCGGCATCGAAAGCAAGTTTTTACTTGCCTAGATAACCGAGCGGTCTAGCGCGCTGTTCCTGTACTGCTAGGAGACAGATTCCGTAGGTCGAGATTTCAACCCCGGGCTGGGGCGGAAGTGGGTATCCTTATAAAAGTGAATTTCTTTGTGCTTTCTATATTAATATTTCTTCACTTAGGGCAGTTATGTTAGTTTAAGAGTTGTTGTATAATGTGCTTGATAAATAAAAATTAATTTCTTTACAACGTGTATTGGGAACGATCCTCTAATAAAACTAATGTCCAAATAACTGTATCTCACTTGGAACCATTCTCAATGACCGTGTAGTGTAGAGCAGCGCCGCGAGAATTCCATCGGCCTCGAAAGCAAGTTTTGACTTGCCTAGATAGCTGAGCGGTCTAGCGCGCTGTTCCTGTACTGCTAGGAGACAGATTCCGTAGGTCGAGAGTTCAACCCCGGGCTGGGGCGGAAGTGGGTATCCTTATAAAAGTGAATTTCTTTATATTTCTATATATATATATATATATATATATATATATATATATATATATATATATATATATATATATATATATATATTATAGAAGAATACGATCATGTCATAAACTCAGGGATTCTATTGCTATATCTTTTTACAGTAATATGTGTGTTTCGGATCGGGAAAAACGAAACTTCAAAGACGCTGACATTTTTAGTGGTTCGTCGCGTTTATCATGGACTTCAATACCATTGGCCCCCGATTTTATTTTGGGGATTCGCGTTAGGGATATTCCCTACATACGTGTCATATATCTTTCTTTAACAGAATATTATAGGCTTAATCAAAATTTTTATTCTAAGCAGAAAAGGATTTTTCTTGGAATAAAAAAACGACTTAATAACTTTTTTTTAATGACGATGGAATCCTCTTGGTATGTCGTATATATGTATTAAACAGGGAAATATTTTTTTGTTTCTAAAGGTTTGAGGTAAGTTGTAGCTTAATTTAAGCGTAATTTTATATAGGATATTCATCAAGATCATCCTCCGATAAAAAGCCCCAGTTCTGAGTTGCCGTGCCTTATTAACGACTCGCTCAAACTGAATTGACTGAACTACGAAATCGGATAACTCACCTGAAAGCATAGACACATTTATATTTACAAAAAATAGCTTAAATTAACTAGATAAAATATGGTAGAAATACATTAGTCTAATGCTCTGTTTACATCAATGGGCTCTTGTGACGTCATAAAACCACAAAATCAAGAACGATAAGCGGGTAAGAAAAGTAACAAGTGGAAAAGTTTTCACCTTTGTTAGTCCCCTACCGGTGAAACCGGAGGGGACTATAGGTTTCCTCTGAGTCTGTCCGTCCGTCTGTCCGTCTGTCTGTCTGTCTGTCTGTCCCTCTGTCTGTCTGTCAGTATGTCCCACTTGGTTTTCCGCACTTTTTTTCCTAAACGCTTGCAGATATTGAGCTGGTTTTTGGTATGTGAGTGTATCTTGATGAGTTACAGATCAAGTTTGCATTTCCTTCCGCTTCATTGACTTTTGACGGAATTACGGCCTTTTCAATTTTTACGGGTTTTCCGCAATTTTCTTCTAAACGCTTGTAGATATGGAGCTGATTTTTAGTATGTGGCTTTACCTGGATTTGTTATAGATCAAGTTTGCATTTCGTCCCGCTTCATTAATATTTGACGGAATTATGGCATTTTCAATTCTTAACGGGAACCAGATTACACTTGCCGGTAGGGGACTAGTATTGCTAATGCAATACTCTCAGAGTGCTTGTTTTTCAGTAGAACAAAGGCCAAAAAATATTACTACTCGTAATTTAACATTCTTTCATATATAGCTTTAGGTTTAAAAAGTGAAATCCTAGTGTTAAGAATCGTTTCCTATGACCTTTAACAAGTTCAGAGTTGCTCTGGACAGTTTTATGCTCCTGTTTTGAGAGATAATTACCTTGAGTAGAACTTAGGTTTGATATTTACACCATACTCTTCATTTAACGATTTTCTTAGTTTTCTTATATTTTTCTTTAGTTACATAAAAAACTCAAATGGGATATCTGGGTTCGTTTCATGGACCTTTATAGACTACATCTGACTGGTATATGAATATACTGTCTTATGATTATATAAAATGAATTACTTAGAAACCAATTTTTTTTAAATCAGAAAAGGTTTTAACAGTAAAACTTATAAACCCTATTGTGACCCACGTACCCCCCCCCCCCCCCGGCCATAAATTGAACAAAAGTGAATGTGCATTACATGTACATGTACATGAGGATGTTAGAATATTAATGACTAATTACAGCTTGGAGATAATGAATAGGAAAATTTGGCCCATATATCCTCATGTGTAAAGTGATTTTTTTTAAATAAAGTATTTCATAGAATTATTATTAATACATTTCTTGCTTAATTATGGGAAATCAACATTTATTGCGTCGCGTTCTCACAACGTCAAGGGCCCTGTGTCAATATGTTGCCACGGGACCCCTAACATTGTGAGGATGCATATATTGAAACGTTACCTGATGCAAATAACACATATAATGATATCAAAAGCAGTCTGGGGAAACGTATTAAGGTCAGACGACACGTTCCTCAAATACATGTTTTGAATATCTTGGTATTATATAAAAAATATTCATAATTATCATTCTTTTGTAATTTCTAAATTGTTTTCTATATGTTTTAAAACATGAGTACACCAAAAATTGTGACATTGGCAATTCGAAAGGTTACCCATAAGGATTATATAAGAAATGCACCCTCTGGAATCTTGCCCAAATGCCTGGTAAGGTACCTCAATTTTTTGGTGAAGAAACTTGTTTAAGTAGCAATACTTCTATGACAAATTCTTAGGAAAAATTATATATTTTCCAGGAAAGTGTCGTCTGACTTAAACAGCCATGTACAACTGGGCATTCTAAAAATAGCTTTTGATTGTTTACCTGGTCAAGACTTACTTGGATGGAGAAAGGTAATTCCTTTTCTAAGATATTCTCCAATTCTTCATATAATCTTGAAGCTATTTTTTGTGCCATTCTTGAAAATAATTATATACATTAGGTGTTCAACTTCCTTATTTACCATGCAGATTGAAAGTTGGTGAACTGCACTGTCATTCAGAAGCTATAATGCACTAACAACTGACCAAAGGTGAAAAACTAGGTCGCTTTCCGGAAGTATCATGTCCTCGGCGAGAGATAATTGTCAAATACCTTTAGTCAGTCTAGACGAATCTTAAAATTTGAATTTGAGACCCCCAAAAATAGAGTCTGCGCATGCATACAAACACCAACAATGTCGATTTGGGGCAAATATCGTGGGTCTAGGAAAACTGCTTGTGCATAATTGGAAAATCTGGCAAACATTTCATTACTCTGAAATGCTACATAAAAGTCTTCGGGAGAGATTGTGCTTGTTAGATTTTCTATTCTATTTGCAAAAGACGAGTTATTTACTTTCAGAACACTCGGTTTTCAGCGTTCCCTCTGTTTCGGTAGTTCGTCCAGAATGGAGGTAGTAATCTCTCGCCGAGGTTCCAAGACTCTTAAGTTTTTTTAAAAGAATGTGGCAGGAATCTGTGCAAACCATTTGAGAAATAAAAGTTTTATGGAGCATTCAGTTGATATTTTTGCATTCCATTGATACACCGGTTTCTTGTGATATATATGCCGGAAAAAAGAATATTTTCTTCATACTGTGTTTTGATTTGCTAAAATTTTCCATTTGATATGGCTAAATGAGTCATTTGGTCCAAATTGTTACGCTTTCCAACACATTTTTCTATTAAATTGCTATCTCGGTCATCGGTGATACCACTGATGGGTTGCATTTCATACTTTTTATTTTCCACTTTTTATAGTTTTCATTTCCGAAATAGTACTTTTCCGGTAATAAAACGGAACGGATGACTTTACCAAAGTCTTAAAAGAATAAATCATTGATATCCAAATACATGTACATGTAACAGGGACGTAGCATCGTTATTGAAATATGGAGGGGGCAGAGAAAAAAAATCACTGACCTGATAAAATTTGACAAGCCCCCCCCCCCCCAAAAAAAAAAAAAAGAAAAATTTTCTAAACTCGAAAATCCTATTTCGGTGGGGGGGGGGGGGTGTTCCAACTTATTTCAGTACCAATATTTATTCATACGCTATACACTACTACGTTACCTTTATTTGACTATACTGCAACAAAAGGGGGGGGGCAACCGGCCTTTCAATGAACTATACGCTACTACGTTACCTTTATTTGACTATACTGCAACAAAAAAGGGGGAGGGGGCAACCGGCCTTTCAATGAACATTTTTAATAGTAAAAATTAAATGTATGTTTTGAAAAAAAGTGGGAGATTAAGACCCTCTACGATACCTACCTCGACTTTCAACATTTGAAACATTTTATTCACTTTATGGCCTCACATGAGGCATAAAAGTACAAAAAGAAATAAATCAACAATGAAAAGGTAACAAATGAACAAAGGATTAACATATATACAATATTAATTTAGAGGTATTGGAAGGAATTTCAAGAGTGAAATAAAGACATTACAATCTTACAAAATTTAGCCAAGCCAATTAAGGTAAATTTATCATCACTGTTAAACAGGTCAGCAAAACTATTGATATTTTTCACTTTGTAAACTTTTTCAGGTATGTACTTTCTTCTTTCATCATTGAAAAAATTGCAATTAAAAATATAGTGAAATTCGTCTCCAATTTCTCCAACACTACAGAGATCACGTAATCTATCTGCTCTATCTATATTTAAAAACCTTCCACATTCAATAGGTAATCTGTGACTAACACATCGAAATTTGCTTAAACTATAAACAAGATCAAAGGGTAACAAAGAAAAATATTTCTCTAGACCAAAGTTCGTTTTGTAGATCCTATAATTAACACATTTAGGAGAATTAAAAATATTTAACTTCCAGTCTGATATAAAAGTTTCTTTACATTGGTCTTTAACCTTTTTAGATAAGCAAACATTTTTTGGAACAAATTGATCTTTCCAATAATTTCCGAAACCATATTTGATCAGTACATTACTGACATGTGACAACCACTTGAATTGGAAAATGTCCTCTTTGTCAAGATTATACATAATTTCATATAACATTCGAGAGATCTTTACATTTTTTCCAGAAACAATTCTTTGCCAAAAGCCAACCATCCTGGCATTTATAGATACAGACAATGGCACTCTACCTAGTTCGCCATACACAATATCATTATGAGTAGATTTTTTCACTTTCATTATATATTTACAGAATTCAAAATGTAATGACTCAATAATACTATTGTTCTCGTATCCTCAAACTTCTGAACCATACAGTAAAATAGGAGCAACCATTGCATCGAACAATTGTAATAAAATATCAACAGGCAGACATAGCTTTCTAGCTTTACTTAAAACACTAAACATAGCTTTCCTTGCTTGTTGCACAAGTCTTAATTATTCTTCTGAAAGTTACCTTTCCTTGAAAAAATAATGCCAAGCTATTGAAACTCTTCTACAGTTGATAATTTCTCACCATTGTACATGAAAAAAGTATTTTCAGGTTGTCTACTTTTTGAAAATATTACAACATTTGTTTTTGAAGCATTAACTTTGAGATTCCACGTTTCACAGTAAAGATACATAGCATTCAGGGCTGACTGTAACTCAGATGCAGTTTCAGCAAATATAACTGTGTCATCAGCATATAGTAGCAAATACAACTTAAAAAAACCTCAATATCATCATTATCAAAAAGTAAATGAGATATTATACCAACATCAGTGAGCCCATTATATGCATGGGACAAGAAATCAGTCAAATCATTAAGAAATAATGAAAACAAAAGGGGAGATAGATTTTCACCTTGTCTCACACCGATATTACACGTAAAAAACTCTGAGCATTTCGCATCACTTCTTACACAAGATTTGGCATTTTTATACAAGTTCTGCAAAACATTAAGCATTTTACCATTAATATTACTGCGTAGAAGCTTCTGCCAAAGTAAAGTTCTATTAACTGAATCAAAGGCTTTTTTATAGTCAATAAATGCACAAAATAATTTTTTACTCCTGGCTAAATACAAGTCGATAAGACACTTCAGGTTAAAAATATGATCTACAGTTCCGTATCCTTTCCGAAAACCCGCCTGCTCTTCACAAAGAGTACCAGAATTTTCCACGTAACAGGATAGCCTATTATTCAAAATACATGTAAATAGTTTCCCAAAACAACTCAGTATAGTTATTCCTCTATAATTGTCTGGGTTTGCACGATCACCTTTATTTTTAAAGATTGGGCAAATAATTCCCTTAGCCCATGATTCAGGTATAATTCCACTTTCAAAGACAAACACTGGCATCAATTTACTAGTGGAATTCTTCAAAAATTCGTTGAGTATCATATCACTACTACATGATTTACCATTTTTCAATGATTTAACAGCATCGAAAACCTCCTTTTCAGTAATATTTTGGTTAATCGTTGAATTATATTCATATAAATTATGTGGCAAATCAATATCAGAATCTACTACAGAGTTGTTTAGTTCCTTGAAATGTTTATAAAAGGTATCTAAAGCTACAGTATTAATAATACCTCTCTCGCAATTTTTATTTAATAGAGACCAATATGCTTTCGGGTCTGTTGAACGTGGTCCACGCAATTTACATATAAAAGACTTTTGGTATTCCTTAAACTGTTTTTGCAACGTCTTCTTATATTGTCTACTCTTAAAAACCATATCATTATAATTATTGTCGGTACGCACTTTTTGGAAATATTTTTTGGCTTTACGATATTCTCTACGTTTCGTATAACAGTCACTATTAAAATACTTCTTAGAACTTACTTTGGTTGTTTTGTTACATGTACTAAAATTTTTTTTATACTCAAAAATCATACTTGCTTTATCAGCTGCAGCTGTGATGATACTATTACAATCATCAACTAGACTATTAATTGAATCATAATCAATATTAAGGGGGTCAACATTCTCCAGTTTGCATAAAAGGTCATCCACTTGATCTGTACTAATATTTTCTATAAAAGATGCAGCATTTTCCCCTACCCAACGGGGTTTTAAACCAATAACTACCTCGGAATTCTCTACGGTATCACCTGAATCATTAATACATGTTTTACTGTAACTAGGAGAGAACAATGTACATAAAGTTAAGCTAATTGGACTATGGACATCACTTAAAATTGGGTCAAAATCATGAACAATAAAGTCCATGATATTCTTTAACATAATAGGTGACACAATAGCATAGTCCAGTAGAGAGTTATTACAAGTAGTTCGACAAATACCTTGATCGGAGCCAACACGACCATTTACAAAAAAGAGGTTACAATTACCACAAAGTTGTAACAAACGTTTGCCATAATTGTCAATATGATGCCCGTCTTGTGAACTTCTGCTAACTGGTATGTTACAAGACTCTAAAATTTGAAGTTCATTGTTGGATACATCATTCAATGTGATATTGCATGAGTCAAGAATATCCTTATTTATATCAACAAATTCTTTACAAGTGCTTGTGTGAGCATTAAAATCACCTAATAAACAAAAATAATCATTGTTTCTGTCAACATTTTCAATTAAGAAAGTTTCAATATCATTGAACAACTCAATATTGCTATAAACACTACTTTCAGGTGGTATGTAAACAACACCGAAAAATGTTTTTTAAAAAAATAATGAATCAACAGAGAACCATAAAACACAATCAGAACATGCAGATCTACCTTTAACAACACTGACATATCCAAGAAGGTTTTCACGTATAAAAACACAAATACCACCAGAACGTGTTTTACAATTGACTCTGTTCACTTGTGATAACAACTTGTATCCGTCAATATGAATGTTATCATAAAAATCTAGTTTTGTTTCAGTGAGGCAAACAATATCATAATTATTTATGAATTCAATAAAATCAGGATTTCTTAATTTAGAAACAATACCACAGACATTTAAAGAAAGTACATGCACACAGTTGGGTTTGTTAGTTGGGGAATCTGTACTCCTTCCAAGAGTTTCCTAGAGATCAGCAAGTCCAAGTTTAGAAAAGTCAACATTGTCGATGCCGAGCTTGAACAAATCATCTGGGTTTTCAATAAGAACCTTTGACCCATCCTTAAGGTTGGCATGAATCTTCCCATCACGGG